GACTATACAGTGATATTAGCCTCCTCCCCAGGCTCTCTCTTTTAACAGGGAAGTCTGGGAACGAATACACAATAAAGGTCACCTGCTCGTAGATAAAATGAAATTATAAATAGAGTTGCCAACAAAGGAGTCTATACCTGTGAATGACTGTCTACTTTAGCCTCACTGCAGGTCGTCTCAATATCACTTCGAATCAAAGAAACGGTTACCGTTTAAGGTTACTGCTCCCCTTCGCTCGAGTTTTCAAATTATAAAGTTTAAAAACTATTTAGCGTCTCATATGATAAGAACTATAGCACATTATATATCATATTAAAGCTGTATGACTGAAAAATAAGTCTATGAATTTGGTTTAGCAAAATCGTTAATAGATTACTTATTAAAGATTATACAGTTTAAGTCGCGATTTTTGCTTTGAGAAGCTATTTCGCAAAACGTTTGCATTAAAACCTCGCTTTCTTCAATGGCTATTGTTTGGGTCATAGTAGGGTAAAAACCGTGTGAGCGTTTTTGGATTTAGATTTTCGTATTCAAATTTCACATCAGGAGTTCGTACTTTTAAATTCAAATAGCAATACCTCCGCAAATAAAAAAAATAGCGAAAAAACGTCACGCGGTTTTTAAGTTCAATATACCAATATACCGTACAAATTTTGTTGAAAAAATAAAAAAAATTGGGTTTAACTTTTAAAGATTTGGACTTGATTTTTTATTATTAATATGTAATTAATTACTTATTAAATATTATTAAAAAACAATGTCATAGACGTTTATATTTTTGTGTTAGCTTTAAAAAAATGTATAATATGTTTAGGTAATATTTAATGAAGCCAAGATATGATTTTTTTAAAAAGGCACCTCAAGAAGGGGAGCAGCAACCTTAAGATGGTGCAGGGAACCGTGAAGGGTCAGCATATTTGAAGATTTCAATTTTCAAGGTTTGACCAACACATAAGGAGGGTAGGCCCAATCATACGTATTAGTGTACAATTGTCTATTCGATGGACTGCTGCAAAAGAAGCAGTTATTATTACCCCTACCCCACCATTCCATTGCCTTACAGTTCCCAGTGCACCTTGCCTTGCACTGATCTTTTGTCAAATGGAGCTGTTCTCCACTGCGACCAGGGCACCAGTAAGGACTGTATTCTTTCCAGGAATCTACAAGAAGTGATAAACGTCCTTTCCATCGAAATCATTCAATCTCAGTTAGCCATTAAGATATCAGGGGATATTCGTTTGGACGTATTTTATCGATTTTATGATTTTGATATCATACGAAAGCTTGGAACGAGAGCTAAATTTCTATGAAATCAAAAGTTAAATAAAAATTTAGTAAAACGCATTTTAGTCTATATAAACAAGCCAAAGTGATCTGTCAACGGGTTCTTCACGCTGTGCTCCCCGAGCTGCCCATATATGGAAGTGTCATAGCAAAAGCGTGACATGTCACGTCACAAAACTGGACTTGAGATAGCCTGTGTACATCCGTTTCTCACCCCTCCAAAAAAATCGGGGAGAGAACGTCTGTGATTTGCCGTTGCTAATCGTGTTCTGACATAAATTTGCATATATAATGTGACATGCACGTCAGAGCTTGAGCAGGCACGTTAAAAGGTCAAGTAAACAATGGACCGTTCCGCAACATAATTCGAACATAATGCCTAGAGATTTTGTTTTTTGTTTCAGCCATTCAATTCTAACTTCGACCGTGGTTTACATTATTGTCTCTGCCCATTGGTCTATGCCGTGCTCTCTCTATCTTCGGTAGTATGTGTCTCGTCAGAATGTGATTTTCCTGTAATTTGCGTCATACAATGACTTCCATCAACCGTACTAATWTCTTCTTGTGAAGATTACGTTGTCCTCGGCAGTTCTGAAGCTGTAACTCTGGCGCTTTCGCAGGCTMTTATGAGATGTAGAATACAAACTACTAAGCCCCCTTCTCTTCTTTAGCACTTCTGACAAATGCAAGTTTTGTTCGTGAAGATTGGCGGCGAATTCTAATGACATTATAATTCCACATCAATTTTAAATTTACCCTGACTGAATATAAGATTAAAGCCTAAACTTTTACAGAGAATTTGAGAGCAAATAACATATCCAATTTGAGGCATTCTACATGTTCCAGTGGTTTACCATGAAGGCTTATATTTCACTCGTGTGACCAACTTTACACGCCATCTATTGATTTTGGCTAGCCTCCTCCACAGGCAACTCTTTTTTCCTCCTTTGGGCTTACTTTGTAACGGTCATTTTGGCCGTTAGGGACTAGTGACGAGATAGCAACCTTTTCTCGCCCCCATTCTCCCTCTTTTGATTCCTCAAAAAGACAGGAAGCCCGTGATTCTTAGTGATGCCTGCGGAGGAGGCTAGATTTTGGCCAATCACAAGTCTCATAAGTCAACGGCCAATGAAATTCTTCCTCAAAATCTTGAGGACCTCAGAACAAGGGCGCTAGAACTGAAATTATGACCTATAAGATCCAAAAATTGCTTAATTTATCCAACATAAGAGTCGATAATAAATAAAGTTTTACTTATCTGAAATATACACTGAAATGTCCTCTTAGACTCTAAAAAGCACTTGATTTTACGAAATTCATCCAAATGATCGTTACTCGAGCGGTTGTTATTACTGAATTTATTACCGCTGTCCTTGTTGTACCAGCCACTGCTGTCTCGCCAGGAACGTTATTAATTAACCGGATTAAAATCACTTTGCCCTGGCCGAACACCAAAAGAGACAGGGGCAGGCAATAACTAGCGGCCCCTTTGACCACTCGTCTGACTCACTAATCGGATTAAGTTGACAGGACCTAGGGACACTGATGACAGATTAGTCCTGGCCGAGCGAGTCTTCGTAGGCCCGAAATAGTAAAAATACGCTACCGTCGCGATGTTTTATAACTCGTCGGGTTTCGAATCGAAAGTCATCTAAAAGTTGAGCGAAGCGCTCGTCAATAATTTTTGTTACATATGAAACTAAAATGTGAGTGTGTTGAATTCGTGTTTAAAAACGTTGAATTGAGAAATAGAAACAGTACATTTTAAAGCTTGTTAAGCAGCATTATATTCAAAGTGTCAGTCGCATAAACTTGTTTGTTAACGGTGCTTTACGACTAACATTTAGCTTTCATTTCGGTTTCTTCCAAATGGACTTGAACTTAGATTTCGGCCAGACACTTTGTCCATTTAAATGGCGATAGTTTTGACCATCCTCAAGACGAGAGCGTTTTAGTTCAAATCCCGACCTCTGACGAGGTCACATTCGGGCCTACGAAGACTCGCTCGGCCAGGACTAATCTGTCATCAGTGTCCCTAGGTCCTGTCAACTTAATCCGATTAGTGAGTCAGACGAGTGGTCAAAGGGGCCGCTAGTTATTGCCTGCCCCTGTCTCTTTTGGTGTTCGGCCAGGGCAAAGTGATTTTAATCCGGTTAATGAATAACGTTCCTGGCGAGACAGCAGTGGCTGGTACAACAAGGACAGCGGTAATAAATTCAGCAACAACCGCTTGAGTAACGATCATTTGGATGAATTTCGTAAAATCAAGTGCTTTTTAGTGTCTAAGAGGACATTTCAGTGTATATTTCAGATAAGTAAAACTTTACAATTTATTATCGACTATCTTATGTTGGATAAATTAAGCAATTTTTGGATCTTATAGGTCATAATTTCAGTTCTAGCGCCCTTG